TTGCATGTGTCTTCCCAACTCTGGCGTCAACTGAGTGGAAAATAAACATTTTTAAAAAATGAAACAGAAAATAAGAAATAGCAGATTGCATGGCATAGCGCATGTGAGAGATTTCTGTTTCAGTTACCCATATATACTGCAGTGCCATATAGTCTACTTCTTGCTGGAGGTGTCAGTCAAAAGTCTAAGCACCACTATTTTAGTCACAGGTATGGTGTAAAAAGTGGATTTGAGTTTGGAAACTGATACAGTGGTCCAGATAATGCTGTGTCATGAACTAGAGCAAGAAGAATGAAGAAGGAATAGCCTCAGAAAATAGAGAAGACAGAAAGAAAAAACAAACCAAAAACAACCAGAATCTGTGATTTAGTAGATATCTGGAAAAGAAGGAAATGTTTAGACGTCTAGGGTAACTCCCAGATTTTTAACCTCAGCTGTTTTAGGACTTGACAGGCCTACTCAGCTACATTAAGTGAACAGGAGAGTACTTTGTTCTAGTCCTACCTTCCTACAAACAAACTCCATTTCCTTGTTTTTTCCCTGGTAAGTAGTGTTCAACTAAACTACAAAAATTACCAATGAGGAGAACTGTACAATCAGCAATGTTACCTTTGCTCCTGTCCCTTCATTTTTTTCTAGTTAAACTTTTCCATCTATGTCTGTCCTTTATGGGGTTTTACACAAGAGTCTTAATTTTGGCTTATACGATTTTTACTAAAAACCTCACAGAAGCCCATTCAAGTTAAGAGATAAATGCTAAATATTACCCAGTTTCCCCATTCTTGATTCATCTAGCTATACAACCTCTCTATTCTCTACTCTCCAAGTATTTTATTATCCCAAAACATTTCATGATTTCTTTAGCAGTTTACCTCTTGCTTCTGCTTCTTCAAATCTTGTAGCCATAGATCATAACCTACCATGAAACTTTCTAAAACAGTCAACCCTCTTACTCTCTTCCAAACTCATTATACCATGCACTAGACAACAAACAACTAATCGCTTGTGGGGTTCTTGCCTATCCTACATTATCACATTTTACCAATTAAGAGTCAGGTTTTGTCAACAGCCTGGAAGAAATTCTCAGAAACAATGCTGGAACATTCTTTTTACCCCTAGCAACCAAATGGTCTGGGGAAAATGAATCTCGAAGCAGGGGTAATAGCAGGACCCTAAGGACAGCATCAAAGCCTTTTATTCTTTCAGGGATTCTTCGATGGAATGTTGTATCACAAACACTTTGTGACACAGTGGGTGTTACATGGTAAATTACAGGTAACAGCAACTCTAGATAAAAACAATCCAGAAATGACAAGCTTTGCTATGTTAGCACGCATCTACAGTTCCAGAACTTGGAAGGCTGAGGTGGGAGGGTCATTTGAGCCCAAGAACAGCCTGGGCAATATAGTGAGCCCTGCAAATAAATAAATAACTCTAAATATGAAAACTTTGGCAATTTTCCAATTTTTAAACATATTTTCCTTTTATTGAATGTGCAGGGGGAAATACGACAAAAGTCTATGTCTAAATCTAAAGGGCTCTTTCAATAAATATAAATAAAAATTCTAAGTATGCAAGACCATTGCATTTTAATTCAATTGACTATGGAATACCTTAAATTGAGCCCTATGTAATTTCTTTACATAGCATGAAATCTGAAATTCAGGGCTTCTACCATTTCATTTTCCAAGCATCTGTCTGTACTGTGGACTGAGTATTTGTGTCTCCCCAAAATTCACATGTTGAAGCCTTACCCTTAATATGATGGCACAGACATATGGCCTTTGGAAGGTAAGGTCATGAGGTTTGGGACCTTAAGAGACATCAGAGAGCTTATTCATTCAAGCCCTCTTGGATGTATATGTAAGGCCATGGCAAGAAGGAAGCCATCTGTAACCCAAGAAAAGTTTAACAAAGAACTGACCATGTACACTGACTTTCAGCCTCCAGAACTGTAAAGAAATAAATTCCTATTGCTTAAAGCCTCCAGTCTATGGCACAATTTTGTTATGGCACCTAAGCAGACTAGTAGTTTGGTTACCTCAACTAAATCCAACTGCTTTACAATCTCTTCATGTGTTAGACTTCTGTATGCCCCATTTTATAAGCACAGAGTATGCACTGCTACTACTTTAATTCCACAATGGAAAACAAAGCTCTAATCTAAAGCATGAGGGTAAAGTCAAATCTCTGCCTCCTTCAACTTCAACTCTTTTGCGTGTCTCAAATTAAAAGAAGGGCTATGATTTCTAGATGAGAGGCACTTAAAATGCTCAATATGTATCTTTACTTGGAGCTGTTATACAAACTTTCCCTATCAATTTTATGATTCTCTAAAGTGGGTACCCACTTGGCTACTCTGAGGTTGAAATGAAGATGTGAAGGGCTGTCCACACCTAGGTACAGATCCTAAATGCAGTCCTGAGCAGAGTCCACAGAAAAGCTCTAAAATTAGCATTAAAAGAAAAAGACCACTGCACCAGGCCCTACATTTGACTCTAGAACCTCAAAGAAAGAAAAAGAAGAAAGCCAGTCTATCCACTTATTGACAGCATGCAGATACCCTGCTACACTCTGTCACGGCAGAAGTTATCTACTTCCTAGCCTTTCCATAGAGTAATCCTTCAGATTCTTCTCAACTCTTCAAACTGTTTACAACATTTAGACAGTGATTTCCCCCCTTGCTTGGCCCACTGGTTTACAATTCTTTGGGAAATAAAATAGACAAATACGCAGTCTCTGAAGTTTGTAATATATTTCCCCACAAGTAAATTTAATGAAGTTTTAAGGATGTATTGTTAATACTAAATTACCCTTATAATGTTTGATAATTCTCCACAAAGAGCCATAATGCAAGGCTTCAATTCCAAAACTGATCCATATTTGCTATAGTCTGACTAGCTCTGATCAATTCTTTGCATTATACTAGTTAAACTTCCTAGAAGTTAAATAAGTGATTTTTCTGGAGAATAAACACGAAAATGCAGGTTAGCTAAAACAGTCTACAAGGCATCAAGTTCAAAGTGAATCAGCACTTGGAATTTTATGTAGAAAAAAATTTAACTGTTTTCACTTGGTCAATATTACTCATTCTTGGAGTTTCTAGTAGCTAAGATGCTTTTGGTGTGTTCTTAGTAAACTGCTATCCAATTTCAACAATTTGAAATGCTTATTGTCTGAAGTAAATATAAATTAAGGGAGAAAAATAAAATCAAACAAGCAAAACCTTTCTAAAGAGCTTATGAAGTGATTACGAAAGGAACACGAAGCCATTGCTTTGGTGGCATTTAGAACAGAGTTGATATAACTTCTAGTCTCATTGTGACTTTTAGGGATCCTAATAACCGTGTGCTTTAATGCTATCCTTCCAAATGCCATCTGATATAGACCAGAAATAAATTGGGGGTGGGGTGGGGAGACTAATTAACCAAATAACAAAAACCTAGCTAAAGACCAGAGGTGCTCACATTCCAGTGTCAGCTCTTTATCCTACCAGAGAAGATACGTGCATTAATTTACTATTCATAAAGTGTACTTTTCTAAATAGAATCACATTTTGAAAATCTAACAGTTAAATCCTCTCATCTTAAAACTTTGGTAATAAAAACTTTTGGTAATACTTTCAGAGTATTCAATTCAAAATAAAAAGTGGCACAGTTAAGATGATTTATTTATAAAAAAAATGTAGGGTTTTCCTTTTAATTCTAATTTTATTAAAAAAGGAGGGGAAAGGTATATGTTTACCACAAAGTCCTTTGTAAACCCTCAAAAATTTCAAACAAGCAAGCTCCGGCGAAAAGCACATCTTTGTTCCCTAAAGTGACTGCTCACCCCCTCTGGTGGACAAAAGAAGTCACAAGTTCTATTTCTAGAATTAACTCAGAAAAATAAGAAAGCTTGTTTAGACTTTCAGGAAAACTTTTTTTTGCCTAGGGCAGGAGAAGGACCAATAAATCCCTCTGAATAATCCTGCAACGGAAGAGATAACTGAAGGAAGAAAAACAAAGGCAAGGAAACCTGACCTGTGTCCTCAAATGCAGTTAGGGACAGTCTTCAGCTTTGGTGCCTTGGGCTATTAGGATGGCCCCCTGACATCCCTGCTTCCACTTCCTTCTCTTACACCAACAAACTATCCTTTGAAAAAGTATGCCAGACAACTGTTCAAGTTGTTATTTCAAACTTAAAAGTTTTTCCTCTATTGTATAACATGAGCCCCTTTAAACTAAATAAGATAGAGTCAGACCTGTGCCCTGTCCATATTTGTGTCCCTGGTAACCCAACTCACTGTTTGGTATATGGTAGATGTTGGATATAGAATAAATGAAATCCTATCAGCCATCTAACTTAGTGACAACAATAAGAAATCACAATAATGAACTACAAGAAAACTCAAGACTCATAAGAAAGGTGTGATAATGCAAGAAATAGTTGCAAATAGATTACTGCTTAAACACTTTGCAATTACTATCTACTTTTACAAAACCTTAAAGATTCATCAATAGCTCAGATATGTATCTTTTAAAACTGTAATTTAAAAGGCATTGCTGATGCAGGGTGTGGCAGCACACTGAAATCTCAGCATGTAGGAAGACCAAAGATTTGAGTCAGAAATACCTAATAAGACCCGTCTCAAAAAAAAAAAAAAAAGTAAATAAATAAAAAGCACTCTTGGCAGACATGCTTATGTATGATTATTTCTGATTATATTTTATTACCTATACTTTTCTTTTTACAAGTAAACACTAATTTTTAAATAGAAACACTAGAAGCATTACAGCATTAACTAATTTCTAGAGAACACATAACCCTAAAAAGCATTTTAAGAATATATGGCAGAAAAAAAAAAAGAATATATGGCAGAGACAAATGTTTGTTAGCTCTAGGGTAAAAGTTAAATTTCTTCTTTGTTGGAGAACACCTTCCTAAAGTAGCATGACTGATACCATACCTGTGTGAAGGACAGAGAACTGCAGTCTCCAGGTCTGTCACTGTTTCCTCCTTCAGGCACTAGGAATTTCAAATGAGAACTTTTAAAGTCATAAATTACTGCACACAAATCAATGACTCTATTCACAGTGAGTTAAAGCAAGCATTTCCTCATCTAAGTACAACATGTAGGAAAGAATTTGGCATGTGCTTAGAAAAATGTGGTCCTTAAGCTTATTCATAAGGTGTTTCAACACCTTCTCTTTATTAGCCCTTACAGCAGCAGTTTCCGTTCTGCTGATGAACTAAGATCACATTACCAAATCAGGCTTCAAACCAACTGTGATGCTGGGACAGTCCTCTTTACTAAATACGGGTTTACCAAGAATCAAGATGAAATGAAGTTGGACTAGGACAGTCAACTTCTGTAATAAAGAGACTACAGATTCCAGAGTTTACTCTGCTCTAAGGTATTTTAGCAGCAATTTGCAGCTCTTTGAATCTCTATTCCTCATCTGTAAAATGCAGAATCTCTATTTGAATCTCTATTCCTCATCTGTAAAATGTACCTCCTCTTCTACTACTGGGCTACTGTGAAAAATGGTAGAGAAGTGTGTGGCAACTGCTTGTTACACAAAGCAGCAATACTTTATTAGTTCTTGATGGTATTTTCCAAGGTTCTAGCAAGACCTAATCATTTTCATTTATTCCATCTAAGACTTGTATTTTTCTTTTTTTAAAGCAAGTCATATCTCTTTTTTTTATATTTTATTATTTTTATTTTATGCACGTATTGCTTGCATGTAGGTAAGTGCACCGGTGTTGTGCATGCTGTGGAGGACAGAAGAGACTATCAGAGCCCCTGGAACTGGAGTTACAGACAGTTGTTAGCTGCCATGTGGGTGCTGGGATTCGAACCCAGATCTTCTGCAAGAGTCAGTGTTCTGAACTGCTGAGCCATCTCTTCAACCCCCTTAGACCTGTATTTCTCAACACTGCTCTTTCATCCTCACCAGACTTTAAGAAAATGATACCCCCCCAACCTCCCAGTGCCAGTGCTAAAATAGATTTGCCTAGCACACAGGCAAAGCCTAGGTTCAATTACCATCACAATCAACCTCCCCCCCAAAGAACATCACCAAGTGACTGAACTTTAATATCATTAAAATATTAAAATTATATGGAAATAACCTGGAAAGTGACTTGGAGCATTTCTTCAGCTCACTATTTTGAAGGCTTTTGAGACGAGCTTCCATATTGAGCACAAACACCATTTCCTTTGCTCTCTACTTAATTACTGGCAAATTTACCATCTGTTTTTGTAGGATTAACTAGAGACTAACTCAGATGCTATTTGATAAAGTGTTATTTCATTTACTCAATTAGATTTAGGAGCACTGCATGATTTTAGTTCCTTTTACTTTATTAAGTTTACCCCC